AATCCACAGGTTTAAAAAACTGATGTAATTCACCCAAACTATAAATTTACTCACGAATGTCTTGTCACTTCTGTTGTTTTCTGGCTAGCTATTCTGTAGCCTCATCCTTGAACAAGAGGTCCATCATTGTCAGTTGTCTCTGAGAACTCACAAGAACTTAAAAGTATGAATTAGAATATCTTGAAGTTGGAATTCCTCAAGCTATAATACCTTGCAAAGCGAAGTTTGTTAATGACGAGTTAATTCAACATACCATTGGGTTAAATTAAAATGATGAGCCAAGTAATTGTTCCAGTTTAATGATGACCTATTCTAGTAGATCAATTCTACTAATGCTTGTGTCTTGAAAATAAGGGTTCTCTATAGGTTCAATCGAGCAAGGTTGTTGTCAGGAGCTTGTGTTGCTTTATTTGATTACATGTTTGTTTGCTGAAATATTAAATGCATCTGCATTGTGCAAAATTTCATGACTCTTAGATGCTTTTATTCTCTTGGACAGGCAATTTTGGTTATTTTGTGTTTTTCGGATGTAGTTTTCTTCTCTCTGTTTCCTGTTACTGAAGATTAATGATATACCAAGTTACTGATGGCTATTTTGCCATTCTGGTTATGAGTCATGTGTTGGCTGCAAAACATAACTTGAGAAAACCAAACAACCAACAGTTGTATGTGGCAATTGCATTAGCTAGAAACCCTAATATATTCTCTTCGTATGTGACAATTACTTAATATATTTTACATGCAATTGCATTGTATGTGACAATTACTTAATATATTCTCTTTCTGATGTGAATCAAAAAGTTCCTTTCTGAAAATTGAATGACTTTCCCATAATGACATATGCAGACTATCCTAAAATTGAATCAGAAGCAAAGTTGTTGGCAAAAGAATTGGGAATTGGCAATATTTGGAAGAATGTCAAGTTCAGAGAGGCCAGTAAAGAAGACCAAGAAAGAATCAGAGTGGCCTTAGAGGATGAAGAAGTTATACCCACAAACAGTGATTGGACAGTGAAATTGGGAATCAACCTCTATTATACTGCCAACCTCAGCAAATCTCCCATCTACAGTAAGCAGATGCCATATAATCCAGTTATATACAAAGCTTTTGGCCAAAAATCTGCAGGTGACTCCCCAGAAAAGCCAAAGACAAGTGGGAGGCGCACAGGCAGACAGAAGAAAATTGTTGTTGCTGGCAGGTGGTGTGGAAAGGTTTGGATGACAAACCAGGTCCACCCATGTTTAGCCCATAAAAAGGAAACTCTAGAGCAAGAACCGACAGAAGAATATTATTCATCTGATAGTGATCAGAATCCTTCGGATGAGATAGAGATTGATCATTCCAGCAAAGTTTCCTCGAAAAGTAATTCATCAGGAAGTAATCTGGCAGTAAAAAGTTCTGGGAAGAAAAGGAAAAAGCCTTCGAGAAAGGCAAAGACGAAGAAACCCAGATGCACTATGGCAGACAGCAAATCAAAAGCTACTGATGTATCCGGAACTTCTGCATCTCCACCTGGGAGGACTCCAAGAAGCAGTTGTCCTAGAAACATCGAGAGCACTAAACAGCACAAATTAAATTCGAAAGATGAAGCAGGAGGTCCGAGCTCACGTCTTAGAAAACGACCATCCAAGTCTGTGGAACAAAAGAACAAATTGGCTAACAAGAAGCAGTCTAACAAGAGGAAAGCTAAAAACAACCAAACTGCAAATCTTGTACCCAAGGATGAGGAAGAATATGCTTGTGATATTGAGGGGTGCTCTATGAGCTTTAGCACAAAGCAAGATTTGGCATTACACAAGCGGGACATTTGCCCCGTGAAGGGGTGTGGCAAGAAGTTCTTCTCACACAAGTACCTGTTGCAGCACAGGAAGGTACACATGGATGACCGGCCATTGGAATGCCCATGGAAGGGATGCAAGATGACTTTCAAGTGGCCGTGGGCACGAACTGAACACATAAGGGTACACACTGGTGATCGCCCCTATGTCTGCCAGGAACCAGGATGTGGTCAGACATTCCGCTTTGTATCAGATTTTAGCCGTCACAAGCGCAAAACAGGCCATTCTGTTAAAAAGGGCCGAAGATGATGAGGCTTGAAGTAGCTAATTAGAGCAGAGCCTCCTTCGGTGTAGGCAAATTGGGGGACTGTAAATTAATGCTCTTGATTGAAGTTGCCATTACTGGGTGATCAGGAGGGTAGGGTAGGAGAGCCTCACTACATTTCTTTTCTATCTTCGTTGAATACTAATCCTCTTATCATTAGTCCAATCAATTTGACGCTGATTTCTAAGTTATCTAAATTAGTCAGATGGAGGCTGATGTTGATGTAGGCAGAGGTGGATGTTCTAATGGCTAGCGGCCATCAAAAACAGGCCTAACAAAGCTGCTTGTTTGATTTTGTCAATTGCCCCATTGCAATACTGACACTCTTATATTGGGTTGCAATGATTCTTTCCTCGAGATAGGGACATTTCTGTCTGGTTTGTCAAGGGTATGCGTTGATAGCATTTCCTCAAGTTGTTCTTTCTCTCTTTCTGGCTTCCATCATAGGGACATTGATATCTGTGGCTGTCATCTACTATATGTTAACAACATGGCAGGGGATCACCTGTGCTTAATGAATAATGAACGACTACTGCAGGTGAGTTTATTGCTAATTTAGCAAATTTTTGGCACATGTTAAGATAGGTGAGCCTAATGATATATTGGTTCAAGATGTTGCTGGTCCTGCACTCTCCTTCTTAAGATAATTTATTAGGCAATGTGTATCCTATTGATATGATGCATGCAATGAATGAATTAGTTTAGGTTGTTCCTCTGGGTTGGTGCTGCTATCATTCTTCTATCAATTCCATTGGAAGCACCCTGTATTATACTTGTCCTGAATACACAAGTATCATACTGTTGAAGGGTTTCTCTCACTTACAACCCTTTGAATACTCATGGAAGCCTCACCACCATCTGTAAGTTATATTTCCTTGGAAAAGTTTCACATTTCTAGGGTGTTTTTTACCCATCATGTGACTACTACTCTTCATATTACTTATTTTTCAGAAGTAATTCACATTTCTTTAGGAACAGTACAACAAAGCTGCACTGCTCCTAACGAAAGAAACAAAAAGAGAAAATAAAGCTGTCTCCTCTGACTAAGAAATCATGCATTCAACATAGTAAATCAGATTGGTTAATGCATTGTTGTACAGATGATGTGTGTTAGGTTTGAGTGTATGTACATAGTTGTGTTTGAAGTAAGTGATCTTCCATATATTGTGTTTTCTCCTCTTCTTTTTCATTCTTTGAAAGTGTTTTCCACCTTTCTTCTTCAGTGTTATGGGTTTTTTTGCCTTCGATCCAAGCGATCTACATTGTTAGAGATGTAAGTATATTGAACCTAATCCAACATTTTTGCAAAGTTATATTTGTTTAAAGACCGTTAAGAAGATGCATATGTTGAATAACTTAGCCTTTATAGTGTTTTTGTGTTTAGTTTACAGTGTTTTATGAAAACAAATCGATAAACGTTTCATATAAATAATGTAATGATATATTTGAATCATAGGGGTTAATAAATCTAGGATGCAAATGATGTCCCAGTGCAATTGTGTATATGCTAGGCATTGTAAATACTAAAATTATTATGAAAAAAAATTATCTATATAGTATTTTTGTGTTATCTTTATAGTGTTTTCGAAATGCCAATGAAAATACTATAACACTTGATAAAAACACTATACCAATTTAACTCAAAAACTTACATATATCACATGATTCTTTCCATAGTATGGATACCAAACTATTTGATTTATTGTTATTTTTATTCTTTGGGTGATCAAATTATTATCAAATTAAGATTGAAGCCTTAGTATGAAACCATCTTTTTAATGTCTATGGATGAATGTTAGTCCATGTGGTATGATATCATTTGGATGTTATTCTTTCTCTCTCTCTCTCTCTATATATATACTTTTTGGAGTGATTTTACATAATTTTAGTGGGAAATAATGCATTACCTCTCTGTCATAGTTCAATTTTAGGGTGATATTGGTTTGAACCAATTAAAAGAAATACTCTAACTCAGAAAAAAAATAATATTTTGGTTCGACCGTATCGTATGATATGGTTTGATATCGCTTAAAAATTTATTTTTTCAAATGGCATATCGAATTAGTAGATTATCCAAATTATTTAAAACCTTGGTCTAAATTGGTAAAAAAAAATAAAAAAAATAGAGACACCCTATGCTAAATCCCTAAAAAAACCATTTATAGGATGAAAAAAGGAAAGAAAAATGAAAATTGTTCAACTAAGTCTCCCCATATTCTCAACTCTGACCGGACTCTGCCGCATCACAGCCGACACACAGCTTCAAATAAGAGCAGCGGCGGCGGCGGAGAACGACGACCAGTCCCCCAAGTCAACCATGGTGTGAGATACGCATCGAGCGAAGACTTGTCAGCTTTCGTTACCTGAGCAGTAAGCTATCGCCATCCCATACAAATGCCTTTCTCTTTCTCCCCCACCATTTGACTCTTCAAAAAGCATATCACGACACCTACCACTTTTTGATCAATTTAGCCATCTATTTGATCGAGATCTTACATTCTGCAAACGAAGTCAAAGTCAATTTTGACCGAGTAGAAGAGTCAACCACGGTGTGTTTTAGAGAGAGAGAGAGAGAGAGAGTAGGACGTTGTAGAACGAACAAGGGATTGCAACAAACAAAATACAGAAAGGAAATAAAATCATATATATATATATATATATATATATATATATAAGCGAGTTTGGGTTAGTCTTCTTCTTCTGCCACACCAACCTTCCTCGTTGGAACGCCGTCCCCTCTCCGTCGTTGGATTAGACCGTATGCATTCCACGTTCGACGTTCTACATGCGCCCACCCATCTCCGCTGTTACCAAGATCAACCCTCATGCTTTTGAATCCAACCAACCTTGCTACTATATATATATATATATTTGCTCTCTCTCTCTCTCTAAGATCACCGACCACCATGTCTCGTTTTCTCTGCAGTTCATCAATCCTTCTGATGCTGCTGCCGTGGCAGCTGCTCCTACCGGCTGCCGAGACCCGAACTTTGCCGAGTCCCACGAGCCGGTGGGCGCTACAGCTGCAGCAGGCTCTCCCCAAGGGGCCGGTCGTGCCGTCGGGTCCGTCCGCCTGCACCCACAACCCCGACTACATCGGGGCGCGCAAGTGCCCGGTGAAGCTGAGCCGGGCCGAGGCAGGCGCCTCTCTCGACGCCACGCACCTGAAGGCTACCCCACCTCCGCCGTCGTAGCAGGAGAGTGCAGTATCGGGTGCAACTCATCTGCGGACGGCAAAGCTGTTTGTGTTATTGCCGGGGGTCGGAAGGATGATGTGGTCAGCTTAGTCCATTCTTTACACTTCTTTTCATATATTTGTTTTATTTGTATTATTTTGGTGGGGATGGGTTTTACTTTGTTCATATGATCGGCCAATTTATCTATACAGGTTATGTATTCGTGATGGAGATTTTAGAAGCGCCGAGAAAACATCCATCAGCTGATCATTTCTTTTTGTTTCTGTAAAAGACATATAATGAAAGTAAACTCATTGAGAATGACCGTCCGATATAATGAAACCATGCAAAGCGAATCCTTTAGCTACGCTACTCGTAAGAGCTGCACACGAGGAGGAGAGAGAGAGAGAGAGAAAGGAAGGAGGTAAAACGAGAAGGATGTAAAGGAGAGGCATCGAATTCGATTCCTCCCCTTTGCTCCACTCTTTCTGCGCTGCAGTCCACTGGCACAAGCATCATTCCATGGATTCCTCACCTTTCCTCTTGTGAGGTAGCTCCCCCCCCTCCCCTCTCCCAAGCCTCCCTTCTCCTGCGCAGCTCTGAGGAGTTGCCCCTCTCCCTCCACCAATTCATGCCTGCCTGCCTGCCTGCCGTGCTCTGCAATCCATGTCGGGTTCAGAGAGCACGACCGGTAACCATCTGCCCCAGCTGCGATCCATTCGTATGTTGTTTATTCTGATCCGAGCTAGCTTTCCTCTGGCTCAAGCTTTCTTGCTTCCTTTGTCAGCAAGCCATCATCACTTTGATTCTTTTCTTTGGCGGAAAGTTTCACATAGTATTTCTACTTCTTGTCATTCACCTTCGTTAAGCTTTTGATGTTGTTGTTGTTCTTCTTCTTCTTCTGCTGATGGTGCGGATGGAAAGTGGCTTGGGTTTGTATCATGTTGTCTCTGTTGCATTGCAAGCCTTTATCTTGTTTGGCGCAGTAGATTACTCTGTTCTTGAATTCATGGAGATGAATGAATTAGCTATTCATATTTGTTGTGTCTGACTTTGCAGTAGCAGATGTGGTGCTTTACCCCTCTGTTATCTTCGTATTCATCTTCTTCTTGTGTTCAGGAAAGAACGAATTGTAATGAAAATGATTCTGATGTCAAAAAAGAGAGGGTTTATTAGTTGAAGGGAATGATCATACTGATCTATCGCATGAAAGGACAATACTCATCACTTGTCTCTGACTGAGTAGATGAAACAGTTTGCAGCATAGAATTAGATATATTGGGTATTAGCTACTCTAATTGATCAGAGGAAATTACTAGTACGTGTGTAACCTATCAGCAACACCTTACTTTTTCCTTGTTTCGTGAAGCATATGATATGACAAGTAGGACATGAAGATGATGGAAGATGAGACTATTTTAAGCACAAGAAGAAATGGCTTCCCTTTGTAGAAAAAATTATACCCCTGTCTTTCTGCAATTTGGAAGCTTTTGGTTTCAATGTTATGGTCAGTGATATGAAGATAGACTGCAAAAGGATGCTGAAATTGTGGAGGTCTAGAAGGTTGCAAACTCTATATTAATCATGGAAAATTGAATATGTTATGGCCAAAATGAATAAATGTTGTTCTACAAGCATTCTGTTCTCTTGGAGGCTTTTATCTAGAGATAATGAGTTAATTTGGATCAAATTTATGAAATGGATTGGTTACCATATTGGTTCAAAGATCCAGTTGTAGTCAGTGTTGGTGAGGTTTGATTAATTATAAATGTATTCTTCACATAATTTTTGTAGTTCTTTCATTTATAGATTTTTCACAGCATATCTTTCTCATATTGAGGGTGGAACTTAGTACAATAGTAATATTACTCCTTTGCAACATGAGAGATTAGGGTCCTAGTCCCGATTTAAAATAAGACTGTGTATATTGATCCTTCGCAGACCTTGTATCGGAGAGAGTTTCATGCACGGTCGTCGTTAGTTGTATCTAGAGAGTCTAGGGAAATCTCGCTAATTTCGATGCATTTGAGCTTCTTTGTAGAGTATAAATTCATCCTTCACTGCTTATTATGAAATGTAAACAAGAAGAATGATGTCTCACTAATTGGGTTTGACACTCCATAACACTGGATCTTCTACTTGCTTTCTATTTTTACTTCCAAAATTGAATGTGCTTGAAAAGGCATTATGATTCATACGGCCTTAAAGAAGGGAGTAGTTTCATCATTTAATCTTGATATATGTAAAAATGTGAACCTGAACTGTGTTCAACTTGATATAATCGGTTCTTGAATGTTGGTGAGATTTAATGCTTGTTTTCTATATTGTAGCGTCATATATATTATGCTTGTATGCAATACTAGTCTAAAGATATTAACACCATACGACCTCTATGAACAATGTGCAACAAGTTTTTTCTTTGAATTGTTTTGCTTTATGTATGTTTCTTTTCGTTTTTACTTATTTTGATGGAAACTTCTGGAAAGACTACGTTTTATTGATGAAGCAAAATCGGCACGGAAATTGAATAGTTTCCTTTTTTTGAGATTAGTGATAGACATAATTCTAGTGCTTGTGCAGTTCAATTCAATACTGAAACTCAAAAACATTTTCCCTTTTTTTTATCTGCTTCAAATTCTTTTTATTTAGATTTGGCTATCATTTTCCTTGGTTTATGTAATGATTTGCTTCTTTTCATTGTCATGCATGTAAACATTTACATTCACTTTCACAAAGAACATTATGTTTCTTTATTTCCCTTATTTTAGATCATGAAATGGATCAGAATGTTACTTTGCTGTGATGATTCACTTTCAAGAAAATTTTCTTCCATAATGCTTAAAAAAATAATCTTGTTTCAGGAATACCTGGTGATGGTAGATGCTTGTTCAGATCTGTGGTTCATGGTGCTTGCCTGAGAGCAGGGAAACCAAGTCCAAGTGAAAGTATTCAGAAAGAACTTGCAGATGAGCTGAGATCAAAAGTAATGAACCAATCCTTACCTCAATAAGACCATGGTCCCTTTATTAGCAACTCCTATATCATACATGTCAAAAACATCTGGATGACATTTCTAGTTAATGTTTCTTGGTCACTGTTACTTGCACTTCCAATCCTACACATTCAATATCTTAAATCAATTATGTTCGTATAACAAGAAGAAGAAATCATAATATCCTAACTATCTGGAATCGGCTACACATGAAGTATTTGTAATTTTGTATCGTCGATAGTGTTTGTAGTTTTCAAAAACAAAGTGCATATCTACACATGAAACACTGTTGATGAAAACTGTTGGTTGTATCAGGTGGCAGATGAATTCATCAGGAGAAGAACAGATACAGAGTGGTGAGTAGTTTTTGGTATCTTTCTATTATCTCCTTCAGCTGATTCTGTAATTTCATCAACTGCTCTCATCCTTAAATAGTATCAGAATAATTTCCTTGCAAGATGAAACTATGTAGATTCAGAATGGGATTCTACTATGTAACACTGCATGACCAACTTACTTATTTTGATGTAGTTTCATGAGAAAGATCTTATTCTCCAACATATCTTTTATTAATTAGTTTGTAGATTCTAGCAGTTAGACAATTCATTTTAAGTCATCCAGATGTTTGAAACTTGATGTTGTGTTAAATGTATGAAATGAGCAAAACAGTACTATTGATTACAATTTACCATCAAACTCAATTTCATTAGAAGACAGGAGATTGTTCATAATTTCATATCATCATACTGATTCTATGAGCATCATCTTGTTGAGAGTGTTATAATCAAATGCTGGTTAATATTAATATATATGAGATCTGTGACCTAAAAGCTTAAAATTATTAAATTATGGGACAAACATAATATATATTATCCAACTTTTTCAATCCTTATCAATGTGGGAGTGTTCTTTAGTCATCTTATTAATCTCTCACACATCTCTTTCTTATTTGTAAGGGCAAGTCTAACTGCGGTTTAGACTCATTTTCTTTTTCACCTGGCTGCGACTAACATCTAACTCTTTTTTTCCTTTTTTTTTTTTTTTGACTCGCTCATCTTTTTCTAGCCTCGGCTTTGTATCATTATTGAAAAGAATAAAAGATAAGAAGAATTATTGAAGAAACTTTATTGAAGAAGCTTTATCGAAGAAGTGAAAAAGCTTAAATGCATTAAGCTGTCCCTCTCCTATTTATACATTATACAGATTAGGAGGGAGGATTTCCCTCAACAGAATAAAGGATTTCCCTCAACAGAGTACAGAGATTTCCTTTGGAGAAATCTTATCTGCTATCAGTTAACAATGATATATTGCTAATGGAGCTTGAATCAAACTAATCAGAGTTAACATACATAATATCAAAAGCTCATTAAGTCGAAGACCAAATATAATATATGTCAACCGCCTCTTTCATTCTTTATCTATATATTTAGTTCTCTTTCTAATCTCTCACAACATAAATATTCTCTCAACACATCTAAGAGCTTGTCTTTATCAATAACCTTCAAATAGTTCATCAATTACTTGGTACATACAGGTTTCTTGAAGGTGACTTTGATACATATGTGAAGCAGATCAGAAAGCCTCAAGCATGGGGTGGTGAGCCTGAGCTGCTCATGTGTTCTCATGTTCTTAGGTTAGTAACCCAAATGCACAGATCATAACAAAGCTTCCTAATTATTTCACAGCTTCAAAGTAATCCACATGAAATGTACGTTCTTGCAGGATGCCAATCACTGTTTACATGTCTACCGACAGCTCCGATGGCCTCAAGATAATAGCAGAGTATGGTCAAGAGTATGGAAAGGAGAATCCAATTAGAGTTCTCTATCATGGATATGGACACTATGACGCATTGCAAATGCCTCTCACCAAAACAAAGTCAAAATGGTATGAACAACTCTCATTTGACGCTATGCTGAGCCATTACTTTTCTTCACATCCTTAGGGTCACTTTTTGGTTCATTGCAGATGCCTCTTGGAAGAATAGAGCCCAAATAGTAACATGATGCTATCATTCTTCCTTCATGCAATATGTTCTTTGCTAATTGATCACAATGATGATGATGAAGCAATTCTAGCAATTTAATATGTATCATTAGCTTCATCTAATGCTCAATTTTATGAAAGCAGTGGAATATTGTTTCTAGGCAATACAAACCCATTCTATTAATTAAAAATAAAATAAATAGATCAAACAAAGAATTATCTATATATTAAAGATGTCTACGGCATAAATTTGAGGAGCTTATGGATTAATTTCGAACTCTACATTGTGTGATATGTTTAAAATCATTTTTATTTTCTTTTTTCCTTCTTAATTGAAATCGAGAGCTTATTGTTAAAATGTTTTGGGATTTTTGCAGGTACATGAAAAGTTGAAGCATTGCATAGAAAACAAGATCCACAAGGTTTCAGATTACTTGATGTTCTTACATGAAGAATCATTTTAGAGCTAAGAAACGTATCATCTTAACCTCAAGAAATCAACTGTCAACAACATCAAATGTCAACCATCCTCCTTGGGTGTATGATGACACAGCTTATTGAGTTCCAAGTCCATGATATCATGATCATCAATTCATAGTATATGTTCATCATCAAGTATAAATGAGTTGACACCTCTGATGCATATGTGTTCCTGTTCCCTTAATACATACTATGAAGCAAATGTATTCTGATCAATTGGTTCCATAAACACCTCAATTTCAAGATTGCTGAATACAATAATTGAGCTGAAGTGGTACATTTGATGTGCTCTAAATATTCCATATTTATTTGTTCTTGAACCAAACAATGATTTCAGAGGAGGCAAAATGTATCCCACATTTACACAAATAAAAAAGAAAAAAGAAAAGAAAAGAAAAGAAAGGGCTTTAATTTCTGCTACATAATATTTGAGATTTTTCATTTTTTTTCCATATCCTAAAAATCAGATGTTATTAGGTTTTCTAATTCTAATCTTGCATTTAGTTAGAAAAATAAGATAAGATTATACTCATATCATGTTATTTGGTTTTGTGATCTTCTGACTTCAACATTTTCTAGAAGATTCACGATGGCTCAGTATTGGTTTGTATGTTGAGTAATTCTATTTCTAAATATTTCACTTAGTGACAAGTTTAGTTATAATTTATTCTGACAAGACAAAATAGTTATAATTTATTTAGTGCCACATCAAGTAGAGGAACTAAAATTTCAAAGGAGCCAGAAGTTATCTCTATCATCAAATATATCTTTATGGTTCATCCTTAAGAGGTCCAATTATGCGAGGCCTATCTTAGAATGTGTTAGTGAACCTTTACGTCATGGTCAAAGTGTCAGCATGGCTCAGTCCAATCTCAAACGTGCAAGGTTGCCCACGCGGATGCTCGGGTGGTGGAAGCGAGCGTCGAGTCAGGTTGTACCTCCTGTTGAGCTAATCGACCTACACGGATCCACGCCACACAGTATCGTTTCGACCTTTCAGGAGTTGCTTTTTGTGCTGCGGGGGTGGTACCAAAATATGCCTTAACCCCGGGTTCCTTGTGGAGAGGCTCGGGGCATGGCTTGGTGCCTTTTGCTGGCTAGGTTGGCTATCATGCTGGGATTGGCCGAGGTGCGTGGCTTGGGCACTATTTGGCCGAGGTGCATGACTCGAGCACTATTTGGCCGAGGTGCACAACTCGGACACTATTTGACCGAGGTACACCATTCGGGCACTATTTGGCCAAGGTGCATGACTCGGGCAATGTTTGGCCGAGGTGCATGACTCGGGTAATGTTTGGCCGAGGTACACGACTCGGGCACATGCTCCGATATAGCAATCCCCTTCTTCTTCTTCTTCTTCTTTTTATCTCAAACCTTGGGCTCATCTACTTCCGGTCTCGTCGTGGCGGGCCTTCTTCTCTCCCTGATCTGCTGATATGGGTAGCTCCTAGCAGGCCTTTTGTGCGACTCATCATGCTTTCTTGCTACTAGTGCCTCTACAGCAACATACTGGTTGACATGTTGGAGCATCTAAAAAATGGTCACTGGTGGTCTCTCGACCCATGACCAAAAGAACCTTGAAGGTCATAGGCCCATCAAGAATACCTGTATAACCAAAGAAGGGTGAGCATCTGGAACCCCTTGGATCTCAATAGTGAAGCAGGCAACAAAGAAGGAGAGGGATTCATCCTCCTTCCGCCTTAGCCCGAGGAGCACGGCCGCAAACGGTTTAGGTCACGCGCTAGCTAAGAAGTGAAGCTCGAGTTCCCTTATAAGCTGATCAAAAGACGAGACCGAGGACGACCTCAATCGGTTGTACCACATCTGAACCGGGCCTCGAAGGGTGGTAAGAAATACCCGACACATCAAGGCGTCGAAAGTGCTGTATAGGGCCATTTGGACCCGAAAGGTGGTGATGTGCTCTGTTGGATCGGAGCCACCATCATAGGCCTCCAACGTCGGGAGGTGAAAGTTGAGGGGGATAGGCTTGTCTTGAATTTCTTGGGCAAAGGGGGACCCAACCAAGGTACTTTCCTTGAGCTTCTCCTTGGATTTATGGAATTCCCTTTGAACCTCATTTAGGTGCCGATTCACCAACCGTAAATGGGCTCGAAATGAGTCGTCTGCCGAGTCGGATGATAGGGTGTTGGCTTCGAGGAAGGTCGAGGTAGCGCGTTTGGGCACAAGGACATTGTGCTCTGCCATTGGCCTCGGGTGTCCCGATTGCTCCCCAGTTGGGTGGGTGGCATTTAGAGCCAGAGGTGGCTGGTCGACTGGGATAGCATTGTGAGGTATAGGGATGAGCATAGGTTGGATCACGGGCAACAACCGTGGGGGGAGAACCATCTGCTAAGCTAGCTAAGGTATGAGGGGTACGATGATTTGCATCATCCCAACTAATGCTTACACCTGGTGGGTGAGGTTGAGGAACGCCTCGGCTGAGACAACAGGCTGCCCCATGATGGTCCCAAGAGGCAACGACCTAGGATCATTGAACATCCACCAATAGTGACTTGGGGTTGTGGTTGAGGTATTCTCTCATTGGCTTAGAGAAAGTGGGAGTTGCCCTCCAAACTCAAAGGTCGGGTGAGTCGGGGTGGCTCTTCTCCGGGGCACTCTCCCAGCTTACTCAGTTGGGGGGTGCTCTTTTGACATCGGGCCCTCCTTTTAGTGCCAAAATATTAGTGAACCTTTACGCCATGGCTAAGGTGTCAGCATGGCTCGGTCCAATCCCAGATATGCAAAGTTGCTCACGTGGATGCTTGGGTGGTGGAAGTGAGCGTCATGTCAGGTTGAGTTTGAGTCTCATCTCCCAAGTGTGGTCTTATCCCTTACCGATTGGCTTACTTCTTTATCGCCATGCTCTTGCACATAGGCCGAGGTTTGGAGGGAGATTTTTCGACTCGACCCCTCCGAAAGTTAAGTTAGTGTTGAGTGAAGAGGGAGTTGAATGCTCGATCGAAGTCATCCATTGATGCCGATCAGGGGGTTGGCTTTTATACTGTGAATGAGGGTCGATCGTATGTGATATGTTAATGGTGGTCGACTCCTCGGGCGGCCAACTTGTACCTCCTGTGCGAGCACTGACCGACTTGCACGGATCCGTTATGACCTTTTCGGAGCAGCTTTGTGCTATGCGACATCGTCTCGTACGGCCTCGGACAACATAGGAACAAGCGACTGTTCTATCCGAGTCCAAGGTATCACATCAACGCAATGCACCGTATCAGCCCTGAAGCTCTACGTTGGCGCTGACGTGGCTGCTGACTATTGCCGCGGGGATGGTACCGGAATATGCCATATCATAATGGACAATTCATTATGGGGTCACACTAATATGGTCCAAGAGGCTTGAGCTCTTTACTAGGGGTGCTAATAAATATATTTAGTAGCATATCGATTGCAGAGTAGTGGAAGAAAATTCTTGTAAAAATTAAGAGTTTTCTGATGTGTGGGGATGTGGGGGTCCCATCCCAGAATGAATAATTTTTTTTAGGTTCGAGAACTCACACTAATGAAAACAAATGATGACTAATTAGATATTATACATTATAAGGCCCAAGAGGCCTTAATTGTTTTACTAGATGTACTAATAAGTATATTAAGATTCTATAAGAGCCAAAAACTACTTTCACTTTTAGATATGGTTTTTGGGATCATCATAAAGGATAAATTTTACTCTATCCCATAATGGATAATTTCTTAATGATTTATTAGATGACACTCAACTCTTTTAGTGGGGCATTGATAGATATGACACAAACACAAATAAGTTTAAATCGGTAGTTCGTACTAACCGAGAATGACAATTTGTATCGATCCAATAATAAAAACGAAAAAAAATATGATCAAGATGTTTGGGTCTCACATACATGAAGAGTCATCCTATTAAACACAGATCCTTAAAAATCATTCTGTCAAGTGTGAAGAAGAGATTGTCGTATAAGATTTTGATTTCTTTCTTCATAAGAAGGACAGAGATCATGTACACTTCTCAAACTTCGACTTGGTTATTCTGTACCCCTTTGATTTCAGTTCAAGAAAAAAAGAAACATGAATATTCTAAGGAAGTTGGCCACAAACAACACTGTTTTGTCTCCTGATTTTGAGTGGTAATTGGTAACCCTGTTGAAATGAAGAGTACTTGTCCTTTCTCATCCTGACTCTTGTAACTTTGATAAGCTTCTTTTGCTCTCTTTCCTTTGCTTGCATTTGATCTTTTGTCGTTTTGCTTTTATCTTCAACTTGATGTGGAAATTTTACTCAAACTACTGTGGCAAGGCCTCTTAGATTAAGCCTGATGTGACTCATCAAGCATGAAATCTATGCAATAACTGACTGATTTCCCATACATACAGTAACTCTCACCTTTAGTTGGTTGATGAAGAACATGTCAGATGTCATACTGTGGTCCTCTGTGCATGAGCATGGTGGAAGTCCCACTCATCATGTCATCAGTAAGTTTCAGTACATGTTGGATAGGTTCAGACAAAGCTTTGCTTTGAAGAATGATGCTTATTTGATTCATTTTTGCAAATAATCAAATAAGCATCATTCTTGGGATCTTTAGGGAGTTTGTGCAAGGTGAATTGAATATTGTTTGTGATGGAATGGATCAAAAGGAAGGGTTTGAAAAGCTAAGCTGGTAGTAGTTGATGCATACAAAAATCAATCCAAGTAGAGGGAACAGAGAAGGTTCTTGTGGTCCTCCTATCATCCAAAAACATAGCCTTAGATTCTAATGGATGTGCAGCTTAGCCTGTTCTAACTAAGAAAAGATCAAATGCTTTAACTTGTAGAGAAAATATATAACATATTAATGCAAGATCAAAATATTTTGAGAAAATAATTAATTAATTAATTAATAGGGAAGAAGACAAGTGTTGAGATTTTAGATTGGACAAGTTGGGATCAATTTGGAGGTTGGATACAAATTTAATCTAAAACTTGAGCTCTTTAAATTATGAAATAAAATAGATATATATTATCCGACTCTCTTAACTATTTTTTTAATGTTATTTTATTCTTCGTCTTATGTATGAATATTTTTTATTAACGTGTGACTCGATTATCTTTTCCTTAATTTTATGGATGGGCCAAATTATAGATTGATCTCAAACGAGTATTAATATAAATGAGGCCGATCACTTAAATTTTCTAAGCTTAAAATATATGTCAAAACCAATAATTAGTGTAACTATTGATAATTCTTGCCTCAAAATCTACTAAATCATCAGTAACTATCAAGAACTAGTTGCATTTTACATAGCCTGTTAATCTAATAAATATTATTTTTCTTCTTGATATAATAATACCTATTCTATTATTTTATTGAGTTGCACAAGAAAGTAATGGGTATTTTATTTTTCATACAAGTAGATAAATTTCAGTACATATTTCCTTTAATGAATTGGAGATACATCTTCTTACTTAGCATGATATGTATGGACTGCTAAAATATAGTGCATTAGTACTAATTTAATAGGGTCATAGATTTCCCATTTCATGACAACTAAATCGGGGTTGTAGAATTAAAATGCTATTATTATGGTATTTAATTCACTTTCTACACCTAACAAAATAAGAACACAACATAAGTTGTTGGTAGATTTCATATCAGTTGAAATGCAAGCTCAACATTGACTTCTCTTCCCCAAGATTGTGATGGTAGCTTTATGATAGGAAAAGAAGTATCATATTATTAGATCAACTTTGTCCCATAGTTGACTAATAAGCTTACGAATAAAAGTCAACGTGAAGGATGTACAAAGACTCATGGCATGGAACATCAGATGATACTTACTGCATGCAGACAAAAAGACTCCAATATTTCTCCACCGGCCATTGATTTATCCATTGAAAGAGTTGACATCGTCTCTTTTGGTATTACCAGAATCTACTTGAAGCACACAAGTCAATGCCTCCTTTCCTATTGGATGCTCCATTACCAGACGGCTCACATTATGTATTTGTTCTTGTTATTAAGAACATCAATCTTTGAAAGAACTCAAAGAATACATAAAAAATGAATTATAAATGTCATCATTTACAACTTAAAGAATACATAAAGAGACTGAAACAATTATAATCATCAATTGCAAAGAATAAAATGCAGATAACTCCCAACCCACCATGGAAGCAAAAAAACGATGAGTGATGTGTGAGCTTCTCCTCAGATCAGTCTCAGAGACTGTGCCAGATTACCCACCTGCCTTGCTGCATCTGGCCATGTCCATCCTGGAAGTTTCTTATTCGTCTTCTTCCTCAGCAGCATCCTTGCCTTGGCCAGCAGATCCATACCCTCCTTGTGGACTTGTACCACCTTGGGGCGCTTCAGCAAGCCTATGTAGGTCTCCAGATCATGGACGCACGCAGGGTTCTGCATCTCGAAGAAGTCGAGCTCCAGCTCGACTCCTACATGAGCGTAGCAGGAGCAGCTCCATGGCAGCTCGAAGCTCCCCCCGAAGGCCTTCCAGTTCTCGTTCAGAAGCAGCCCCGGCAGCTTGGTGACCGGATCGCGGACGTTCACCACCCGCAGCACCTTCACCCCGAGCTCCTCGATCCGCTTCTTGAAGCCGGTGTTGCCGACCCTTGGCCCGCCGAAGGAGTACACCGCGATGGGTATCTCTCGCTGGAGGAGGCGGAGCCGGTTGAGGCCGAGCTCGGCGAGGTCGTACCCGAAGAGCAGCGCGAGGGCGCTCCCCATGCTGTGCCCGGCCACTGTGATGCTCATCTCCTCGCCCTTGTGCTTGTCGATGAGGCGGGAGACTTCGTGGAGCAGCTGCTCTCGGCAGCTGCCGGGGCCGAACCTGGAGGTGGCGTCGGCGGAGGTGTAGAGGCTGAGGAAGCCCGACTCGACCTTCACGTCGCGCCGGGGGTCGTGGGGGTCGAGGTTGGCCGGCGTCAGCGTGCTCATGAGGTTGGCGATCCACTCGGTGGCGGTTACGGTGCCGCGGAAGCTCACGAGCACGTCGCGCCTGCCGAGCCGCCGCGCGTCGTCGTCGGAGGACACGGCGACGTAGCCGATCCACCGGCCGCAGCGGACGCCGGCCTGCATGGGGACTCCGACGCCCGGCGTCGCGTACACGTACTTGGTGATCTCGTAGCCGGAGGAGCCCAGCCCGACCTCCCGCAGCATGCGGCGCTTTCCGTACTTGCAGTTGAGGTGGCGGGGGGAGGTGGGGTCGACGTCGAACGCCTTGTAGCACGCGGCGACGAGCTCCCCGTAGCGGACGATCGCCTCGCGCAGCAGCGGGCTGAGTGGGTCGACGAGGCCGCTCCAGTCGTCGGCGCCATGGATCTTCCTCCACACGCTGGCGAGGCCGCCGATGGCCTCGGGCGTCCTTACCGGGCGCGAGTGGAGCACCGGGGCGGCCAAAGGCGGGCCCTGCGGGGCGAGGAGGGACATGCCCTGGCGCGGGCCGCATGGACGAGTTTTAAGCGAAGTGGCCAGATAGTTGGGCACGGAGAGAGTGGAGGAGGAAGAAGAAGCCATGGGCAAAAACACAAACAGCAACGAGGGGCGGTGCCGGGGGATTATATACACACAAACGGGTGAAGCGCATGGGTGTTGACTGGGGTTAATTTTCTAAAGTGTCGTTGATTGTTCAATGGGTAGATTGGATGGCTTGGAATCGCGGCCGGAAAATGCTTGAAAGATGAAGCGGCGGTGCAGAGTCAGAAAAGAAACAGACGACGAAGATGAATGGTCTCCGAGTGAGAACATTATGGCACGTAATATATAACCTTCTACCAACCATACCAGAAAACCTTTTGAATTTTTTTGATAGATACCATCAAAAGAGGTTAATTGAGAACATCAAAAAGTTCTCTTTGCCTCTTTCTCTTTATTTCTTTTCCTCTCCCTTACGTTTATAGAACTCTCTCTCTCTCTCTCTCTCTCTCTCTCTCTCTCTCTCTCTACT